AAAAATGAGTACAAAAATGCTTCTAAAAAGGTTACTCGAAGAATAAGAAGAAGATGATGTGTTGCGAAAGAAACAAAGAAAACCTACGAGTTCAATATTCAAAACCAGACGTGAAGAAGGATCTTTCTGTCTGTTAATAAAGAATCATTTATCATTAGAAGAATATAATTTCAGGAGTTATTTCAGATTGAATCATAAGCAGTTTGGTTACGTACTGACGTGCTGCCTGAGCCCGTCGCGAGACACTACTGGTCCGAGAGCGGTCTCCTGTGCTTTGTCTCTGTCGCCTGTCTTTGTCTCGCGCTCGTAATTGTACTTCATACGATTGTACAGAGAGCAGACAGGAAGCGACCAGTCTCGGTCTCGTAACTCTGTCGCCTGCCTCGGTCGCTTGTCTCTGTCGCGTGTAGCCAAATGGTACCTTCAGGACGTCCATGGATGTAGGATGTACCAGAAGTCACCATCACACTGTTGCTCCGCTTAGGAAGTCGGTATCTGTGCCGAAATTGCTCTTCAGTGTCTCGTGGGGTTGCCCTCTCCTGTCGCGTGCCCTTACTTGCCCGAGCAGTTTTCGCACAGGTAATTTCTCCTGGCTGTTCGGTTTCTTCCATGCAGTTTGCATGTGTTGCTGCTTACACTTGATATGGATGAGTCGGGTTGTATACTGGTAGTGGTTGTCGTGCTGGATGTGGATCTTTTTGGTGGTGCTCGAAAAGCCGTGGACTCGACGATGCTTCTTGTATTGGAAATTGCCTTGGTTCTTTTATCCGCTTTCGGGCAGCTCTTGTGGGATTTCAGTTCTCGAGTCCTGTAAGAATTAAAGGCAGGTTCTGATACAGACCGAGACGTGATTGAGAAAGGAGAATATTGTACAGCGGTGAAGCGCAACTCCTGGCGCTCCCGAAGGCTGGTTTGTGCCCGCGAATGAATTTCGCCAAGAATAGTTTGCAAATATTGAGCGGAAAGTAATATACCGAAGTATTTTGAAGCGAAATTAAAAGCATTCCCATTCGAAGCTTAAAATGAGTGCCATATAGCCGACGTTTCAGAGGTTCGTGCTGCCTCATAATAGACGCAGTGTGTACGTCTGAATCTGAGATATTAAGGCTTCTTGTTTGTCCGGAACTGACAACTTACGTAATGAAGGAGATAGTACGGTTAACATTTATTTCATTGGTGCATATACTCGGTGTGCAGTTAATTAATTCTGTGTTGGGTGCCCCTTATTTGTCGTAGCCAATATAATGACATTGTAAAATCAGACAGATTTTTATTATAATAATTAAAAAATTATTATTCTCTCCGTTGCGTAGCATAAAATTTAAAACGGCTGCTTACCACTGTGTGTTTTTGATCCAGTGTTGAAATGTTTTGAGCCATTGATTCCTTCTCAGTTCTTTGCTGAGGATGAAAATTATAAATATGAAGCCGAGCCCAAAAACCACTACGGCTCCTGCAGCTAGCAGCGAGGCGAAGTCCCATCCGCTCCAGAATTCGTTGACTGTGTAGTTGACTATTTTATGACCCATGATGGACAATTACTGCTTCTCTGTAATTAAAATGTCTGCGGTGCAATTAGCCGTTGCGTGGGATATAAACCTATGTAAATTTATTTATGTCAAATGGCAGGTACATAGAATTTCATCTTTGACCCATATATTGCCAAGCCACTTTGCCGTCAGAGACGTTGCCCAGGGTACATGTCTGCATTTATAAAAATATGATTACTTAACTAATACTAATTCAACAATTAGCAATGAATAAAAGTGAAATGGAAACATAGACGATACATTGAGTGTACTTGGCAATCAATCTTTGTTCCCCCTACCCAGGAAGATTTGTTCTTCCCCTCAAGCTTGACATTTAATTCATTATGAGGGTTACTGGCAGTTAGTGTCCCCATGTCCCTCCATGCAAGAGTACCCATTTCAATTCTCCCATTTTTACCAACTTCTTTCATAAGTTCCTTTAAAAGAGTAGCAGTGCTGCTTATTAAGCTTTGGGTAGTTTTGCCAGTCATCATTGACCCCGATCTTTTAATACATTTTCAAAAAAATCCTCTCCTATTGTTTGAGTCCTGTAGCCACTGAATATTGGGACAGCGACAGTTTGTAGATATGCTGATGCAAGAAAGCCTGTTTGATTTGCAGACATTTTGGAGTACATCTTTTGGATTATGAGTTGGGTCTTGACAGATTTCCCTATGGTTGTCATCTTTTGGAATCTTTTACCCAGCTGCTCTCTGGTGTACCAGGTGGCACAGTTTGTTATTTGTTCTAGAATAGACAGATCTTCCTTGTATGTCCCGAACATGCAGTGATATATGACTTGGGCAGCGTCCTGTTCATTGACTTCACCTTCAAACATTTCATGGTCAATCTCACACGTCCTTTTGTATAACAAGAAAGTTTCGTGTCCTGACATGTTAATGGAGGTGTAAGCTGCGATTGACGATGGCAAAAGAACTGCTGTTCTGTCCTTGGTTTAGTTGTTTGCAGTAAACAAACTGGGAAGAATACTCTCTGTGCCTGTATTGAAGTAACTGCGTAAATTAAAAGTGCGTAAATATTTTTAATCAGAGCGCCTCACGGTTTTAAGCCGTTGGAGATAATATTAAAATGAATGCTAAATTTGATGTGAGGGCGTGGTTAAGTTTTAACTGATTCAGTCTTTAAGAAACGCGTTAATGGGCGGTAGTGTTGATGAAAGATGGCGGTCTCTTGAACAGATGAGCAACTGTGAGTGTCTTAAAAATGTCTCTGCTGTACGACAGGGAATTTAAAAAATAGTTATTGTCTCTTGAAAAGTTTTATGTCGCAAGGAGGTAGTTCGCATGTTCAACTTGTTATTTAAAAACAGACTTATGACGTCACGGCTTCGACCTTTTACCTTACGCGTTATATAATTCAACAGACTTGAGGTGAAACTTTACTGTAAAATTAATAATGTAATGATATTGAGACATATCACTCGTCATACATATAAACGCCCATCTTAAATTCGGGACAATTTTTTCCATTGATAAATCGCATTTAATGTCAGTTACCACTTACCTTTTCCTACAATTGTTCCTTCTCAAGTGTTTGTGCTTTAGTCCGCTGTTACGTCCTTTTTAGTTAAAGTCGTCGTTTCAAGGCAACGCGAATAAACAGTCTAACAATGCACAACATTTATTTATTTTACCAACTGGTTTTTAAAATTTTCAGTTTTAACATTTTAAAATTTATCAATTATTCTTACGTATCTGTTTTAATAGTGACATTTCAATTTTATCGTATCCAAAAACACACCTGGTGATAACATGTCAGAACATGAAGTGTTTATGTAATTTCACACGTGGTATGTTTATTCATATACAATATGATGCACTGGTTGTTTTGAAGGTGGGCCGATTTTGTTTTGCTTACTACCGACACAACACGATGCAACCATTTAAGAAAAGCGAAGTAGAGGTTTAAATTAGTCGGCGTTCGGTTCCAATAATAATATTAGTGGATGCATCGAGAATATTATCAATAGCTGACGTTTTATGGAATTACAAATAATGTGACTGTTGCTTGTTGTTTTGAAGAAACTCATTCAAAATGAAAGATTTGCCTCTTCGCCACGAGTGAAAATCGAACTGAACTGAATTCGGCGAGAACCAAACTGCTACAATGGAATCAAAATTAAATGTTCATCATATATGTCGAGACTGTAAATCTTAATTTTATTTTAAACCTTGAAATATTATGAATAAGCGACATGTTTCTAAAGACATGCAGACGCATCACTCGACATTCGTACAAACATACACGAGATTCCCATCCAATATGGACGCTTCCTTTTCCGTATTTAGTATTTAGACGAGTTTCGATTTCAGACTTTACCATTGAACTTGTTGAAGATTATCTGGTTCTTTATATAAGTTTGAATTTCCACTTACCTTTCTCAATATATCTGAGAACTGTTGTGAGCGCGTCTGTGTTGTTTCACTTCCTCTTCTCGTATGCTAAATATTTCCTAGGCAGCGCCAGTAAACAGTCTCTAACAGTGTACTGAATTTGTTTTTTGTTGTAACTATGGAAATTTGTCATTGCTGTGGATTCATATAACCATTTTAGAACACGTTTATAATAGCCTGTAACTAACAATGTTGCTTTAATTTTTCCTTCATTTAGTGCTCCAATTATACTGATCTTTCTCCTCTTAAATCCTGGTTTATCAGCAGATAACCTTTTGCCTTTTCGAAACCATCCATATGCATAAAATTTGTTGTCCTCTATGCTGTATTTTCTTTCAATGACTGGCCTTGCTGCCGGATGCTGATTTGTGTAATTCTTGATTGCTGAGTCCAGTTTTTCTTTCGATGAAATTTCTTGTTTCAGCCTATCAATTTCTTTTTTCTGTTCATTTATGACTTGCAGAAACTCGCTTTTGTATGCCTTCTCCGCTCTCAAGTCCGATGAGGTTGCAAAATTCTCTGCTTGGAGCTCCGTGATCTTCTCTGTCTTGAAGTTTATGTCCTGTTACTTCGTAAATTAAAATAATATATATATATAGATATATATATATATATATATGATGCCGTTTGACATAATGTACTCAGGGAACACTTAATGTGTTTATTTTATATGGATGGTTTTTATTTTTTAATATTACATAACAAAGACTTACCTCCTTGTGGTGCACCCTGGGCACCGTCTCTGACGGCAAAGTGGTCTACAAACTTGGCAAAAAAGGATCAAAGATGAAATTCTACGTACCTGCCATTTGACATAAATAAACATTGTTAAAAATAGTTACCTAGTGTTGGGAATTTGTTTCGATATTCTTAAGCGTGACCACACAGAGAGGCCCAGTAATTACCCCAGAGTATAATTCTATTGTTCATTTTGTAGACTCGTTTAAGAACCTTCTGCCGAGCTGCTATGGAGCCGGGTTAGCTCAGTCAGTATAGTTACTAGCTACGGGCTGGACGGCTGAGGTTTGATCCCCGATGGGGGAAGAGGATTTTTCCTCTAGCCTTTGCCTCCAGACCAGCTTTGGGGTCTACCCAGCCTCCTATCCAATGGGTACCGGGGTCCTTTCCCGGGGGTAAAGCGCGGCTGAGGTGTGATGCAGACCACTCACCCCCATCGTGCCGAGGTTAAGAATGAGTAGGAGCTGTTCAATTCCTCCCCCCCAAAAATACGACCTTCATGTCGTGTAGATATACTTTTATCGATCGATTAGTTTATTGAAAACTAATTGTTGAGAAAAAATAAACCCAGATGGCTGGGATTAAACTGTATATAAATGCTGTGTATGTTGAAATGTCTCCTGACCAATTGGTTTTTAAAGAATGGCCATTAATAAAGGATGTCAGTAGATAAGTTTAGTTTTTGTCTCAATTTGTTTTTAAACACTGGAGGCCTGCACTCCAGTTGGTACGTGATGCTCTGGCGATAGCTCGAGATTGAGGGGGAGCGAGAAATCGAACTGATCTCGAATCTCTGTTCCAGTCGACCATCATTATTATTAACGTAATTTATTTTGCAGTGCGTATCGCTGTGAGCAACTGTTCATGTTAATGAAGGACGTCAATTTATGTACTAGGACGCGTCTATTAATGAACATTTGAGGAATGTATGTATGCAAACTGTAATTAAAGAATTTGGTATTGAAGGTTACTGAAGCAAAGGCAATGTGAAATATCGCATTAGTGATTGAATTTTGTTTAAGAAAATTCGTGAGAATATGTGAAAGTGTTTTGAATTAAAGGTGTAATTTTTATAACCTCGAGGCCCGCGAGTTCGATAAACAATGATGAATGTGGCTTCAGGTTTGTAAAAGGTTAAGAACTCCTGCTGTAGCCAGTCACTGTAGTGACTGACAGTACGAAGATCACATCCTTCTGGGACATCGCGGTATTTAATTTCCGATAAGTTAATCGATGTCGGTCTTCTGCCACAATGTAATTTCTCAGAAGAATGTCATTTGCATACCTACCATGTTGAGAACCCGAAATTTCACTAAATAAGTATGGTTTTGAGACCAGAAAAGAAGTTTTGAATGTAGCTTAGCCTCCCCCTCTCCCATTAAAAAATGAAAACCACAAGGATTTGGCTGTCTAAGAGATCAGCATTCCAACATCCTACAAATAATGGTACATAATTTCAAGAGGTTTTATGTCCTAAGTTGTATTACCTACCTTAGTAAGATTTAGTTTATAGTACCAAAAATTGTTTATATATTAGCTTTATTCTAAATATTCCCTTTATACATGCTTTACAATTGAGTAAATAGTTTGATTAAGACATTGCTTATTTAACTTGAATTAGTTACGCTTAAGATGGGTCTGTGGTAGCTGAAATATATTATAAAATTTGTACACTTTAGAGGATCAACATTTCGTGCAAACACCATATCTATACAAGATTTTGATCTAGGAGTACTACATTGAGGATTTGACATCAACATTAAGCTAAACGTTTCCTCCATAAATGTGACAAAGCTTTGATTTTCCTCCTTCTTTAAGTCAGTGTTAAAAATCTCCTGCCAATATTATGGGCATTGCTTTACGACCTTCTGTGGCCATAATTGAAAACATCTCTGTAGATTTGGGAGCAAACGTTCCCAAATGACTCAAAACAAATCTCTTACAATCATCAACAGGCGTGTTGTTACAAATATACAGGGTAACAATTAAAACCTTTTTCACCGTTGACCATACACTCTGCCGCACAAATATCACCTCTCTTTTCAGCTGCAGCTATTCTGTAATCTGCTCCATCCTCCTTAGGTAACTTCATCAACAGATGTGGAGTAGCCGTGGTAGTTGCTCCATGTTTCTCCACCTGCTCTTTGTTCGTCATGCATAAATTGCGTGATGCATTTATAAAATTCCAAATTTACAGTTTCGGTGAGCGCCAGGATATCGGTATCAGTTGTCACTGTATCCGTTGCTATGTCTTGCACATGAGTTTTTAAACTCTGTACGTTTAGAGTAGTCATTTTTAGATCACGGCGAATTTCGCTTGTTGCCATCATGAATGGTGTTACCTTGGGGTCTTCTTTAAATTGCCTCGATCTTCTGCGTGTTAATCGTATATGATGGACAAGGGTGTGTTCTTTTGAGCAGGAGCAATTTCCAAGTACTTATCCTCATTCCACAGGAGAGTTTGCTGTTGAGCTAGCAGCAATTCTACATCACTTGACAATTCTATGTCTTCTATCCATTTAGTTTCTTCTTTAGTAGTTTCTTGTTTTTCGAAAAATGCATCGTTAATTGTAATCTTGTAATGTTTGTACAATGGAGTATTAATCAAATAAGTAAGCCAACGTTTTATTGTATATTTTTTCACAGTTCCTTCCAGATACGTAGATTTGTGAATCAAGTTTCTCTTTATATGGACGTTGAAACTGTAATCATCGTCCAATACTCTAGGTAGTAGCGTTACCATATTATTAACATCTACTGGAACATTGATTACTTGTCCCATATCCCACATCACCCATTTGATGTCTTAACCTCCTAATTTGCATAAATGGAAGTCTAGGAGATATTAATCTTTCGCTTATGCAATCTAGAGGAGGCAAATCAGTGGGGTATGGTGGATACACAAATCCATTACTCCTAGACAATAGGTATTTGCTGCTTATTTAAAGATAGCCAGCGTGTTGTGCATACCTTAAATTGGGATACATTTTCATTTACAAACTCCGTACCCAATATATCTAAATGGCTATCAGTAACTTGTTTCAAATCTTTTTCAAACCATAACCGATCACATACGAGGCGTATTCGGAAAGTAAGTACCGTTTGGGAATTAACAAAGAGCAAAATATAATTTTTTAAAAAAAATATTTTCATCAGATTCTACGTTTCTTAGGCTACTTTTCGACATAGGTACCGCCATTATTGAGACACTTGTCATAGAGGGACACAAGCTTTTGTATACCCTCGTAGAACGCGGCCGCCTGCGATGTCAGCCACTGCTGCACTTCATCGTCATCAACAAAACGTTGACCGGCCAGGAATTTTTGAATTACACTCTTCAGCTTCTTCAAAGTTTCGCAGTAAACATTAGAGTTGATTGTTGTGCCTGGCGGCATGAATTCCACCAATAGAACACCTTTCCTGTCCCAGAATACGGTACACATGATTTGTTTGGTTGAAATTGTCTGCTTAAACTTTTGGGATTTTGGAGACGCGGTATGCTTCCACTGCATGGACTGCTGTTTTGATTCAGGTGTGATATGGGAGACCCAAGTCTAATCTCCCGTCACAATATGGCACATTTCATCTCCCTCCTCGTGATAACGAGTCAAAAATGTCAAAGCACTTGCAGAACGGCGTTTTTTGTGCTCCTCTGTGAGCATTTTGGGCACCCAACGCGAACACAATTTTCGATAATGCAGGCGTTCTGTGACAATTTCATAAAGAGCAGTCCTTGAAATTTCAGGAAAATGCAGGGAGAGAGCAGAAATTGTGAACCGTCTGTCCTCACGAACTTTTCGTCGTACATTGAAAGCGTATCCATATCTATTTTCATTAAAATGCTTATGAAAATATTCTGTTGCATTGTCATACCTTGGTTGTGTGATTCTTGTAAGAACGTTTGTTCTTGCTAATGATGTGGAAGCATTAACTTGCAATAATTCCTTCATGCGATTTCTATATTCCCTAATAGCATTTCTTCCTCGGGTGTATTTGCAGAACCATTTAGACCGGTGACTGGATTCCAGACACTGGAAAGACGGAGAGATTGTGAAGCTCCGTGATTTATAAAAGTACTCGTATAAGGAAGGCGCTGTTTACACGAGCCATAAATTGTTATGGGATTTAACACTGAATATTAAGTTAAATTATCAAAAAGTCTTACGAACATTAATTGTAAAGAATAATGCTCTCGACGACTGGCGAATTTTGTAATGTAATAATTGATTATGGACTTAACGTCAGCTCTGTTAATCAGACAAACAAGAATTCTGAATTTGACTTACAAACCGAAATTTTTGCGACAACTCCCGAGTTGTTCCACATGTTGGCAGTATCCTTGCCAATCCTTTGCAGTCATAGTTGCAATCCCTTCTATTGTTAAATCCAGCAGCCGCTTCAAAGACAGATCCCCTGTCACGTTCCTCTCGCGAACGTAGATTTTTACCTTAGACCATGC